CTTAAGACATCTGATAAATAATATAAATAAGTAATAAGTAATGAATTGTACATGCAAATTTAAATGTGTAAATATAACGCTGCCTTTTGCTTTTCCCTTTAAAATGACGAAACCCGAAGAGTGGAGTCGAGTGACATAACTCTAAGAGCTATCGACCTTTGGGCATCGACATTTCTCACTCTATATTCAAGTTTAAATTGTATGATATTCTTCTAGAGAAATAGCACTTTGCGAAATGAAATTTTCCAGATATATTAACCAACATTCTAACAGTAACGTTTCATAATTTCGCCCCCCTCCCCCCCCCCCAAATTTTTTTAACTTGTTCAAATTTTCCATTCTCATGCACGAAAACGTTTTATAAAATAAAAAATGACGGTAACCGATCCTGTTTTCCAGTAAAATGCGTGAACAGCGGCAATGACGTCATACTTATGGACAATTTTTTACTGTTAGAAGGTTGGTTAATATATCTGGGAAATTTCTCTTTTCTTTAGCAAGATTCTCGTGCTAAAATTTTAAATCTAAATCACAAGTTTTAAATATTGTAGAGAGCCACCTTAAATATAGTGCAATGGGGGGCAACAAAACTGAACGAATATCGGCCAGGGAATACGGCCTTTTATCCTTCAAGTTGCCGCCTGATTGTAAGCGGTTTGGGAGTCTGTATGTTGGTGCGTTAAATTGCTGCGTTAAAAGAAAAGCTGAAGTGAAAAAGCCTACTTTACGAATCTGAAGCATTAGCGTTTAGACCTATAGAACCTAGTTTACATAATTACAAAATTGTGTTTTAATAAAATACACACTTCATAATTTATTGTATTTCTGGCTTATGCAAAGTAGTATAAGTATATCTCTCGACATGAAATGTGCATCAGCTCTAACTCGTGTCTTCTACACGATGGGATTAATCGTATGCGATTCGTATACTGCCGTATGTATTCGAGTAAATACGTGTAAAGATGTCACATTTTGAATTTCGTTATAAACTGACGAACAGAAAGAGTGGCGTCAGCAATCGTTTTCATATACGTCAGGATAAGAATCGCATACGACTAATCGCATCGTGTAGATATAGGCCTTAAGATCAGTCATCATTTAAATTACTTCAACAGAAGACAGTTTATTAGTTGGGTGTTGGGTTTTAACGCTTGAAGTTTTGACTCCCTAGTCCCTAGTGGAAAGCTTTAGTTTAGTTATAGCTTTTTTTTGAAGCGTGAGTCAGCAATTATACCTTTATTATCTATTTATTCTGGTTCAAGTGTCGCATGTGACTGATGTTCACCGCCAATCCTAAGGAGGAATACCGAACATTTATTAGTTGCACGAAATGTTTTCAGCTGTTTGCCGCACTCTGGCTTCAAGACGGGTTCAAAACGTGCACGACAATAAATTTTCTATAAAGGTATACTAATCGTTAAATATAACGCACGAGGCACGATTATATTCTCTAAAATTAAAGAAACATCCACTATAACATTGTCATTCAAACTGAACGCTGTACTTTTGTGTGCTGTGAACGTTTTTTTTTACATTTGTGGGAATATTGTTAAACTCGGTCGTCATACTGAGTTTAGGGAGCTTTAGCAGTGACTACGAGTACGACTACGAGTACGAGATTCGTCATTCTCGCGCGTTGTTTGCTTACGCCATCAGTCAAAACTCGTAGTCGTTGGGCTTTTGAGTACGAGTTTTTTGATAAATTTCGTACTAAAAAGCCCAACGACTACGAATTTTGGCTGATGGCGTAAGCAAACAACGCGCGAGAATGACGAATCTCGTACTCGTAGTCGTACTCGTAGTCGCTGCTAAAGCTCCCTTTTGTTGAGCTCACCGCTGCGACGAAAACTATGTTTCTTTACGATTCTCGTTTTGCCTTTTTGTGATCTTGCTGTGGATGTTGTCTTTCATCCATTGATAACATTTACAGTAACAAGTCACTGGGTATTCATGAGTTTTGCTGAAAATATCCCTGACGAATATTTTTTTCAATTGTACGTATTTTCTTTGGCTGCGCTTTTGACGATGACTTTTGAAAGGTATCTGGCCTTAGAGCATCCATTTTTTCATGAGAGGTTCATAACAAGATCAAAACTAATGGTTATATTTGCAATATTTCTGCTGCCATTTGGTGCAATGGATGTAATATTATTTCTCCTTAAAGCCAAAGATTACATCGTGACAGCATCATGTGTTGCGTCATTAGGGAGCTGCGCTACTTCTCCTTCTCTATTGGAACTTTAAAATATTTTACATTGCGAGAACTCAGCAAAAGCGCATGGTCATACGTTTAGGAGATTTTGAAGAAGATGGGCGAAAAAATATTCAAGCAAAGGCTAAAATCTCCTCCGGAAAGATTTCTGCGTGTTTGCTGGCAATTGTATGTATGTTCGTGTGTTATCTTCCCTTCATCATATCATTTGGATTAGAAATTAACCTACCAGAAGACTGTAGTTACGAAACTCTGTACTTTATTCAACTTTGGTCACAGACATTTTCAACCTTAAATTCCAGTTTGAATTGCTTGGTATTCTTCTACAAGAATAGCGCTTTGCGACGACTCGGAGAAAAGATAGTGGCGAAATGTCTTTGCGCAAGATTGCGGGCTCATGTACTGGAAAACAGAGAGGACTCTTAAATGATGTAAGAATCTAACTCCACTGGAATTTGTAGGAGGCAGCAGATCCACAGCTGTATCTGAAGTGTAGCACAATATACGCTATGACCACACGTACAGAGTTTCTGCTTGACAAAGTAACATTAAATGCAACTATATTTTCAGAGGATTTAAAGAGCATAAATTATTATATGGAAAATAGATGAGTAGAGTACTCGATATACCGAAGTATAAAGATAATAAGACGAGAATAAAATACAATAAACTTGGTTTACTTCATATAATTTTATTCACTACAAATTTCTCTCGTATAACAAGCAGTGCTTGCACACTCATCACTCATCCGCAGTTTATAGACTTTCACAGTTTAAGGGAGAATTAATACTTCACTATAACTAAACCTTCAAAACATTAAAGCAGCACAAATAATTTTATTCCCCATACATTAAACGTCGAATGTTGTTTTTCGATTATTGAATTCATTCAGTGATTGCACTCGACTATATAAAAGCTTAAAATGATATTTGTTACATAATTAGACAAAACTCTGAATTACACTTTTAAGAACTCTTTTTAAAGTAAAAACGATGATTAATTTTAAAGCCTTAAATAGTCGGTTAGGTCTTGGAAAAACGACAAACCAAGCTCATAAATTGGATTCTTACAACAAACACGAAATGAACAAAGTAGACACGTACCACTTCAAGGATTCAAACTAGAGCTGTCATTCCTTTTCACCGCTGCTAGTCTTGATATCGACGATCCGTAGGGATATTATCTTTTCCCAGTGTTTATATCATTTTATTTGATTCCACATTTCATATTGTGTTTACGAAATATTTTAATAACATTAAAAAAAATTGTTTGCAAAATGACAGTTAAATTGCTGACGTTGTTCATTGAAATACAAAAATTTTGTCTCAGCCAATTAGCAAGTGGCAAATTACCAGTCTTTAATCATTCAAATTTTGCGCGTGCGCACAAGTACCATGACAATTGAACGACCAACGTCCACGGTCCATGACTTAAAATTTGGCAACTTTGGATTCCGTTATGTTCTGTCACATTACCCCCGGGTGTAATTCCCAAAAACCGGGCGAAATTAGTAGACTTGCACGGCGCTCCGTGCATGGGAATGATTTAGATTTAACATTTTGTCAGGACATTTCTTGCTAAGGAAATGAAATTTTCCAGATATATTAACCAACACTCCAACTGTAACATTTAATAATTTTGTCTCCACAGAATTTTTTTAACTTGTTTAAATTTTCCATTTTCATGCACGAAAACGTTTTATAAAATAGAAAATGGCGGTAACCGATCTCGTTTTCCGGTAAAATTTTTGAATATGTAAAATGTTGGCCATATTGAAACGCTTTGTTACCATAACAGCGGCAATGACTTCATACTTATGGACAATTTTTTACTGTTAGAAGGTTGGTTAATATATCTGGGAAATTTCCCTTTTCTTTAGCAAGATTCTCGTGCTAAAATTTTAAATACGGCCTAAAATTTTAAATACGGCCGATAATATGCCGGGAATACGGCCTATTATCCTTCAAGTTTCCGCCTGATTGTAAGCGGTTTGGGAATCTGTATGTTGGTGCGTTAACTGATTGCTGCGTTAAAAGAAAAGCTGGAGCGTGAAAAAGCCTACTTTACGTATCTGCAGCATTAACATTTAGATCTATATATTGAACATAGTTTACATAATTACAAAATTGGGGTTTAATAAAAAACACATTTCATACTCTCATGTCTGGCTCATGCAAAGTAGTATAAGTACATCCCTCGACATGAAATGTGCATCAACTCTAGCTCGTGTCTTCTAAAGCCTACCTACACGATGGGATTAGTCGTATGCGATTCGTATACTGCTGTATGTATTCGAGTAAATACGTGTAACGATTGCAATTTTAAATTTCGTTATAAACTGATGAACAGAAGAAGTGGCGTCAGCAATCGTTTTCATACGTCAGGATAAGAATCGCATACGACTAATCGCATCGTGTAGATAGACCTTAAGATCAATCATCATTTAAATTATTTCAACAGAAGACAGCTTATTAGTTGGTGTTGGTTTTTAACGCTTGAAGTTTTGACTCCCAAGAGAACAGCTTTAGTTTAGTTATAGCTTTTTATTGAAGCGTGAGTCAGCAGTATACCTTTATTTATTCTGGTCCAGGTGTCCGGCATGTGATTGATGTTCAATGCCGATCCTATAAGGAGGAATACCTAATATTTATTCTTTGCACGAAATGTTTTCATCTGTTTGATGCAATCTGGCTTCAAGACGGGTTCAAAACGTGCACGACAATAAATTTTCTATAAAGGTATACTAATCGTTGAATATAGTGGATGAGGCACGATTGTATTCTCAAAAATGAACGAAACATCCGCTATAACATTGTCATTCAAACTAAACGTTGTACTTTTGTGTGCTGTGAACGTTTTGTTTACATTTGTGGGAATATTTTTAAACTCGGTCGTCATACTGAGTTTGTTGAGCTCACCGCTGCGACGAAAATTATGTTACTTTACGATTCTCGTTTTGGCTTTTTGTGATCTTGCTATGGTTGTTGTCTTTCATCCAATGATAACGTTTCAAGTAACAAGTCACTGGGTATTCATGGGCTCTGCCGAAAATATCCCTGAGGACCCTTACAAATATTTTTCTCAATTGTCCGTATTTTCGTTGGCGGCGCTTTTGACGATGACTTTTGAAAGGTATCTGGCCTTGGAGCATCCATTCTTTCATGAGAGGTTCATAACAAGATCAAAACTGATGGTTATATTTGTAATATTTCAGTTACCATCTTGTGCAATGTATGTAATATTAATTCTCCTTAACCCCAAAGATGACAGCGAAAAGATTGCAGTAAAGATTGGGGAGAATGCGTCAGTAGGAGCTGCACTCCTTGCCATTCTCTTTTTTAACTTTAAAATATTTTACATTGCAAGAACTCAGCAGAAGCGCATGGTCATACCTTTAGGAGATTTCGAGGAAGATGCGCAGAAAAATATTCAAGCAAAGACTAAAATCTCCTCCGGAAAGATTTCTGCGTGCTTGATGGCAGTTGTATGTATGATCGTGTGCTACCTTCCCTTCATCATATCATCTGGATTAGAAATGAACAAACCAGAAGACCGTGGTAACGAAACTCTTTTCTTTATTTATCATTGGTCGTGGACATTTTTTACCCTAAATTCGAGTTTGAATTGTTTGATATTCTTCTACATGAATAGTGCTTTGCGACGACACGGAGAAAAGATAGCGGCGAAATGTCTTGGGGCAAGATTGCGGGTTCATGTACTGTAAAACGGGGACTGCACTGGAATTTGTAGGAGGCAGCAGATGCACAGCTGTATCTGAAGTGAAGCATAATATACGCTATGACCATAACAACAGAGTTTCTACTTGACAAAGTAACATTAAATGCAACTATATTCTCAGAGGATTTAAAGAGCATAAATTATTATACATCCATGGAAAGTAGACGAGTAGAGTGCTTGATATACCGAAGTATAGAGCTAATAAGACGGGATAAAATACAATAAACTTGGTTTAGCTATTTCATATGATTTTATTCACTACTGTAGGCAATATAATATATAGACAAGCTTTCTTGTATATTTAAACAAGTTTCGAGCTTTTTTTGTTCTCAAAGGAAAGCGTATACTGAGTTATATAGTAGAAGTTGTGCGAGTAAAATAAATGTTAAATTAATAAACCCCCCGCTCAACTATATACATGTACATACATATAAGTATTTGCTAAGTTGTCTGCAGGGACGCCGAAACGATGCGAGGGCAAAGGGGGCAGATCTTGGTGAAAGGGCACTCCTGTAGCGGCGCATTAATAAAGAATGTTTGCAAAACATCGTCAGTTGAACTTCGTATCGTGATTTCTCTTTCCAAGATAATTTCTGCATGTGTTTAGACGATTGTGTTATTCTTGATGCTTGTTTGTAGCTATGAGACTATATGTTTCAAATTAGAAGGTATATATCCTGACACCGAACCACCTGGGATTTTTCAATGCAGTATTCTGAAGCATGCATGCATAAAATATAGATGGGTATAATAAAATTCATTAATCATGGAATCGAATCATTGAGCACATTACATTATCTACATCTATCATAGCGATAGTTATGGTTTCGTACAACAAGCAGTGCTTGCCACACTCATCAGGTGAATTTAAATGTCGCGCTACTTAGGAGAACTTTATTTCTGTCTGCATTTTGATAAAAGTTCCCTTCTTGCACTCAGGGAACTAAGTTCGAGTGGTATATCATAATGAATTCTTCGTGAGCTCAAAGACTACAGCGAAATGAAATTGCTCTCTACAGAGATGATGTTTTAAAAAACCGAAAGAAATAGAAAATATAAAGAAATAAATCTGCCGTGTTTTTAATGATCATATAAGCTAAAGATAACAATCGAAGCCAACAAAAAATGTGTCAGTTACCTAGATGTCACGTTTGACCTGAGAACCTCTTCATTTAAACCATACATGAAACCAGACAACTCGCAATACGTCCATCGTCTAAGTAATCACCCACCTGCCTTCTTGAAAGCAATTCCTGAAGTTATTAACAATCGATTATCTAACATCTCTTCTGATGAACAAGCATTTAACTCCGCTTGTCCCCCGTACCAAGATGCTTTACATAAGAGTTGCTATAACTATAATTAATATTTTGAACTATAACCCAAAACATCGAAGATACAGCGGATTCCGGTTGCATGACTGCGAAATAACAAGCGTCCGCAACTACTCTTGTCTTCTCGATGCAACTAAACTGCAATCGATTTCTGTCTCGTGCTCATATCGAATATACACACAAGCTCCGTACGATGATTCGCTCGCATCGGAAAAGGCATGTATCTCAATCAGCCGTGTCCGCGTCTTTAGAAAGTGGCAACGAGGCACAGTAATGCATTCTTCAGATTAGAAATAATTGTTTTCCATGACAAAACTGTTCACTTAGTTGTTCTTCCCAGTCTAGGTCACTTTTACACAATTCTTGAAACAACAGCTTTAGTTGGAGGATAACAGGCGAAAGAAGGCCCAACGGGTCGTAAAACTTTGCCGAAACGCTCAACACAATTCTCTTGGTACAAATGTTTGGTTACTGATCAGCAACAACCTTTGCTAAGTCAATTTCAAAATATCGTTAACGACATTCCACGGTTAACCAAGAACCTTATTCATCATGTCGTTCTCATTTCCAAGACTGAGCTAGTTTTGTATAACCACGATATTCTTCATTTACAGTTCGCACGGGTTCTACATTAGAGCTACTTGGTTTTTCCGCAAAATCAGGGTCTACTTGAAATGTTTGCTGAAGTTCTGGTGAGTTAGTTTGCCATTAGCGCCTCAGATACACAATCGTGACCAGATGCGTAGTTGTCGACGTAAAACTGTAAAAGGATCGTAGCAGTTCGTAAACAAAAGAAGGATCATCGCGCAAGTATTGACTAACATGATGGCGAAAGGTTGCATTGAGGATAAACGGGCTCGACGTAACGCAAAACACCACTCTAGTAAAACGAAGTGGGATGATACTCGGTTCGTTGCTATGTGGATCAGTTATCCATAGAAATTGCAGAAAATCACGATGTTCTTGAGCGATCGCTATGTTCAAAAATGCCTTCTCTATATCAGCTGTCATCGCGTTAGGGTGGACACGGAAACGCAGAAGGATATCGAAGATGAGTGGAGTTGATGAAAGCCCTGCATACAAACAGTCATTAAAACTTGGTCCGTTTTTCTTGGCGGACGCGTCGTATACTATTCTAACCTTTGTCGTATCCTTATCGTTTCGTACAACTTCTCTGTGGGGTAAGTAATGCACATTTCCAAGTGTTGCAAAGCTCTTGCGGTCCACTGGCTCCACAATCCCCTTCTCAATTTGATCCTGAATTATGTTATCATATTCAGTTAAAAGTGTCGGTTGGTCTTGAAGACTATGGACTAGACTTCTCAGTCTCTTCACGCTGACGACATACATGTAGTTATCAGGGATCGTGGGATGATGTTCCTTGAAAGGGAGCTTTGCTTCGTATCTCGTGCCATTAAATCTAATATCCTCGACAAACTTGTCGTAAATAGATGGCTCATTATAACGAATACCTACCGACTCTAAGTCCCAAAATTTCTTTAGGTTCTCATTCAGATTCAGATTTGGTTCCTCCTGAAATGAGGGGGTATCAATCCGTAAAATGTGAGTATCAACAAGGTTTGTTGTAATAGAACTCTCCTCGAATTGCACTTCCATGGGTCCGGACAAAACCCATCCTAAGCGCGTCAACAGGGCAACAGGACCTGGTTGTTCACTTCGTCTTATTCATTGGAGACAAAGTTCCAGTAAAAGTCAGCACCCATTAGAATATTTGTGGGAATATTTTTAAACTCTGTTGTTATAATGAGTTTGCTGAGCTCACAGCTGCGACGAAAATTATGTTACTTCATGATTCTCATCCTAGCATTTTTAGACCTCGGTGTGATTCTTGTCTTTCATCCATTGATAACATTTGAAGTAATATGTGACTTGGTGCTCCCAAACCTTGGTCAAGATACGACATTTTTATATTACTTTTGTCATTTGTTCGCTTTTTCGTTGAGCGCCCTTTTTACAATGACTCTTGAATGGTATCTCGCCTTGGTGTATCCATTTGTTCAGCGAGAACTGTGCAGAAGGGCATGATCATACCACTGGGAGTTTTAAATGATTATGAGCAAAGAAGCATCCAAACAAAGATATCTAAATTCTCACCAGGGAAGATTTCTTCATGTTTGCTAATGATTTTATGTTTATTCGTGTGCTATCTTCCAACTTTTATACTTTTTGGGTTGATACTGACCAAAGATGACTGGAACGATGAAGCTCTGCGCATTCTTGACCTTTGGTCATGGACATTCACCACTTTAAATTCAAGTTTGAATTGTTTAATATTCTTCTACAAGAATTGCGCTTTGCGACGACATGGAAAAAAGGTAGTAGAGAGATATCTTTGCGCAAGGTTGCGGCAAATTGTTGTGCGAGACTGAGAAGACATAGTCTGTTAACATTGTATGCGCGTAAGCTACTGGACATTTGAGGCTGCTAAAGTCGCTGAATCTATAGGATCAGTATTGCGTTTTAACATAGTGCTTTTAGTAAAGCGATAAAAGACAATTTTAACAATTTAAAAGTAATAAAAAATATTTGATAGTGACGTTTTGTCCTAATTAAGACATCTGATAAATAATATAAATAAGTAATAAATAAGTAATAAATTATACATGCAAATTCAAATGTGTAAATATAACGCTGCCCTTGCATTTCAGTTTGCTTCCCTTCCAAACTTTCAGAGCTATCGAGCTTTGGGCATCGACAATTCTCGCCCTAAATTCAAGTTTAAATTGTATGATATTCTACTACAGAAATAGCACAATGTGACGACACGGGAGAAAGATATTGGCGAAATGTCTTTGCGCATGGTCGTTCGGCAAAATAAGGAGTACTTCTCTTGAAATATACAGCCTGTAATCTATTGAAGCGTGTAAAACATAGTAGAAGTACGAGCTTTTGTAGGTTTTGATAAATACTGTTTTCGATCGAAAAATCTCGCCTAGTGGAAAACAGGCCTAACTTGTGTCTTTTAAGATAAATCAACATTTAAATTACTTTAGCAGGCGACAACATATTAGTTGAGTGTTAGCATTGGGTTTTGGCATTTAAAATTTTGAACCCCCATGCAGAGACACTCTTTATTCATGCGTGAGTCAGCAATTATGCCTTTGTTTAATTTCGTTTAAGTGTTGCATGTGACTGATGTATTTACGGACCACTTATTGATTTCAGCTGTTATCTTCAAGACGGGTTTTCGTGACCTCCGACCTCGTTTATATTTAAACAAACTGCAAAACGGGAGTGACAATGCAGGTTCTGTAAAGCTATACAAATCGTAAAATATAGTGCACGAGGGAACAACACAGACACCCAAAAAAAATTCTAGCGTTAACTTTAGGTATCTTACTACATTTTACTAAAAATACATGCATGCAGCAACCCCTGGCCATTTCAAACGAAGCAAAATATTTCCTGAGCCAGCCAGTCCAAACCTTCTAAGTATATAAATTATTTTGAAATGACTTAAGTGTAAAGCCTATAGCTGATGAGTGGTGTTTCAAATTTTTCGGAAACAAACACAGTCGTAAAGGTGAAGTGAAATCACCCGTTTACCTGCTGCATCACCTTGCATGCAGTTTATAGACTTTCACAGTTAAAGGGAGAATTAATACTTCACTATAACTAAACCTTCAAAACATCAAAGCAGCACAAATAGTTTTATTCCCCAAGCACTAAACGTCGAATGTTGTTTTTCCATTATTGATTTCATGCAGTCATTAATCGTTTAAATTTTGTGCGTGCGCACATGTACTATGACTATTGAACGTCGAACGTCCAAGGTCCATGACATCGAATTTGTACAACTTTGGATTTCGCTATGTTCTGACGCGGGTGTAGTTCCTAATCTCCGGGCGAAATTAGTACCCTTGCACGGCGCTCCGCGGGAATGATTTAGATTTAAAATTTTGGGAGGAGATTTCTTGCTGATGGAAATGAATTTTTCCAGATATATTAACCAAAACTCCAACAGTAACATTTAATATTAATAATTTTGCCTCCACAGAATTTTTTCAACTTGTTTAAATTTTTATTTTCATGCACGAAAACGTTTTATAAAATAAAGATTGGCGGTAAACGATCTCGTTTTCCAGTAAAATTTGTCAATATGTAAAATGTTGGCCATATTGAAACGCCGTTGTTACCATAACAGCGGCAATGACGTCATACTTATGGAAATTTTTTTATTGTTAGAAGGTTGGTTATTAATATATCCGGGAAATTTCTCTCTTCTTTAGCAAGATTCTCGTGCTAAAATTTCAAATCTAAATCACAAGTTTTCAATATTGTAGAGAGCCACCTTAAATATAGTGCAATGGGGGGCAAGAAAACTGAACGAATATCGGCCATGAATACAACCTTTTATCCTTCAAGTTTCCGCCTGATTGTAAGCGGTTTGGGAATCTGTATGTTGGTGCGTTAAATTGCTGCGTTAAAGTGCCCATGTCATAAAATTGAAATTTAGATTTTTAGAATCTTTGTTTGAAATGAGTTAGTAAGTTCTGAATCAAAACTGAAACTGGACTTTTATTTTTCGAGTTATTGCAGTCTAAACATTGATTTTGGTGGAATGAAAACTCTGAAAACCGCGCAAATGAGACTGGTGCGAAACAAGGTGTTTTACGTCACAATAAGAACTCGTTCGACGCGACAACTTAGTAACTCTATTGCATGGAGTAATAAGTAGAAGCTAACTGCGCAAAAAAGTGGTTTGTTCTTACTTAACAGACAATTCTGTATAAAGTGACTCATATATTATCAAAATGTGTTGTGAAATGGCTTTAATAATTGTACGTTCCCGGCAACAGTCGCGCAATAATTGCAAATTCGCAATGAGTCATGACCAATTGAGTCACTGTGTTGTAAACACGAAGGCAGTGTTTAAGTTAACAGATAAAGGTTTTATGCGTGCAGGCATCATAAAATAACGTCTCAAAAGATGCAAGTTGGCACATTTTAGTAAGGACAGCTAAAGAATATTGGTAAAAAAGATGCGATAATAAAAGCTAAATGTACTGTGTTATATTTATATACACATGATTTGATATGTTTCTTTTGCGCGAGACGTGTTAGATTTCTCAGTTAATATTAATATTTCTCAGTCTCTCATTGAACTATTTTTTAAAAGCGCATGGGAACTCCACTCATACTCTAGCTCAGTTGATTTGTAATGAAAATTAACCAGAGAATCACACAGGCATGCGTGATTGAACATTTGAACTACACATAAACACATTGTAGAAATACCGGTACTCATGAGCCACAGGAAAACCTCAATCATAATGCTATTAATATAATATATAAATATATATAAGGGCAGTAAAATGCATTAGGGTGAACTATATGTGCACAATTATACAAATGACGATCAACTAGGACGAAACTTAAGAAAAAAAGTTATATCTATATGCAAAAGTACAATTGCCACATTACTACCATAGAATCTATTTGTAATTTGAATACTGTATAGTGTATATCTAGCGTAATGATATTATGTTCTGGGGTCACAGAAAGCAAGTCGCGCAATCAAAATCATAAGAAAACATTTGCTTTTTACTGACGTCTACGATCAAGTCTTCGTTGTAGTTTCGATGCGATGATCGTTATGCGATCGCTCGATCCATTTCGCGATAGCCTTTCAGCTTATCATCGGCATCTGGTTTGTTAATTTATGGTCCGAAGTGTTCTTACTGCCTGACAAGGCTGACATTGACCCGCGTTCATGGTCTTAACTTTTGTTCTTTCTTGGTATTGCATTGGCAGGAAAACAATTCTAATCGGTGTCATTCCTTTGGTAACTTCTCAATAGCTAAACTTGATGAAGACATATTTCTGCCACGTTAAATAACCGAATTTAGCTGGCATGAAATCGCTTCTCTTGTACTACATACTATTATTTATCTAAAGGCGCAATATGCGAGTTCCTATTGTGACGTATTAGTTACCAGTTTCCGACTGTCGCGGATTTCAAAAACTTTTGCCGTTAAAATTTGAAATTTTCAAACTTTATCGCTTTGTTTCTCCGCGAAAACAAACTCAATTTCAAATGTGGTTACTATTTTCGTAATCTACGTTTCACGGCAATTCTAATGAGATAAATTCCAATTTTATGACATGGGCACTTTAAAAGAAAAGCTGGAGTGAAAAAGCCTACTATACGTATCTGAAGCATTAACGTTTAGACCTATAGAACCTAGTTTACATAATTATAAAATTGTGTTTTAATAAAATACACATTTTATATTGTATGTCTGGCTCATGCAAAGTAGTATAAGTACATCTCTCGACATGAAATGTGCGTCAACTTTAGATCGTGCCTTCTAAAGCCTACCTACAAGATGTGATTAGTCGTATGCGATTCGTATACTGCCGTATGTATTCGAGTAAATACGTGTAAAGATGTCACATTTTGAATTTTTGTTATAAACTGACGAACAGAAAGAGTGGCGTCAGCAATCGTTTTCATATACGTCAGGATAAGAATCGCATACGACTAATCGCATCGTGTAGATAGGCCTTAAGATCAATTATCATTTAAATTACTTCAATAGGAGACAGCTTATTAGTTGGGTATTGGGTTTAACGCCTGAAGTTTTTTACTTCCG